GAGGAAAAAGGATGATTTTTATTTTATTTTGATACTTAGAATACATTAAGAGATAATGACATTTTTCCTAGTAGGGAAGTATAATGGTTTTCCTTTACATTCCTTTTTTTTTTTTTTGGTACTGGGGAGTGAACCCAGGGCCTTGTGCAATAGTAGTTTTCCTTTAGATAAGAATTGATTGTCTTGGGATAATTTAAAGTAATTTCTACCTACTTTTCAAAAAGTTGATTCTCATAGTTAAGGGTTCTGATCTTTTAACACTCCCCTTTGGTTTTTCTCATGAGTCTAACATAGAAAGTAAGTAAATCCTGTGATCTGAAAAACCTTATATTTTGTCCCGAGACAGTTTTGTTTTAAAATGAAGCTTTCTCTTTATTAGAAAACACACTTGAACTTCAGGCATTTCAGTTCAGGTTTTGAGTTTGAACTTAGTTGATTTGGCCCAAGAAAAGCTGTTGAGCTTTGGGTCTTCCACCTGCATCCTCCAAACTTCAAATGAGCACTCATAGAACCATTTTCTCAATCAAAGAAACAAGTTAATTCTGCTCTGTGCTAAGGTATTAACTGGTCTCGATTTATTAATCAGCTTTAGTTCTCATGAGTGTCTGAGTTTTTCTAACTATACTTGGCTTGCTTTGTGTTTTATTAAGTTGTCTTGCTCAGAAAATTCAATAAATTAGTCATTTTTGTTTTCCCATATTCTTACTCATTTTTACAGCAGGCTTTTCTTTTAAATTATATTGAAGCCAATTCATGATTAGGATTATGTCCTAAAGTACCTTCCCTATAAAAATGGTTTCCTTTTATTTGAGGTTGTGGGATGCTGCAATTGGTGTATCAACTGATAAACATAGCTGGAAACTATAGCAACAACTCATGATGCCTGACCCACTTAAGTAGGCAAGTCTGTAATAGGTTGAAGGAAAAGATGCTCTAAAAGCAAATAATATGACTCAAAAACATCTTTGATTTTGTAACCATGTCACTGGTTATTATTAACTCTCCAGACTGAACATTTTATGTGCTATAAAACAAATGTTTTCATGAATATTGGCCCTTACTTCTTTAACTAGTTGTAACTGTAATTGCCATTTATTCCATTTTTCTTCTAATAAAAGTGATCTTACTTGCATTTGTTTGCCCCTAACCTCTTCTAAGGTTACAAAAAAAAAAACTACAAATAATAGAGGGCATTATTATGACATAAAAATAATAATGCCTTCATATCAAGCACTGCTTTAGAGAAAATATTTTCCATTTTGCATAGTGGAGGATGAAAACCAAGTGCTCATTTCATTGGATATATTATCTAAAAAATTAAATTACCTTGTCAAGAAGTTAGTTGCTTTTTTTTTTAATGTTTGGGTCAACAATTTATATCATGTCAGTTTAATTGTTCTCAAATTCTGTATGTATCTTAGTATTTCTTTTATGACTGTTTTTCCTGTTAGTGTTAGGACTTCTATATTAAAACAAAATAAAAAACTTTTAAAATTTGATTATTTTATATGACTACAAATGAAATAATACTGGCATTTTTATATCTGTTTCAGAGCTAATGATGATAATAATTGTCTTAGTCTGTCTTCTGCTGCTGTAACACCAGAGAATGGGTATTTTTAATTGAACAGAAATTTATTTGGCTCACAGTTCTATAGGCTGGGAAGTCCAAGAGTATGGCACTAGCATATGGTGAGGACCTTCATATTACATCATCCCATGGCAGAGGTGGAAGGGCAAGAGATGGTGAAACTCACTTTTATATCAAATCCACATTCCCAAAATTAACCTTCTCGCTTGTTAATGGCACTAATCCGCTCATGAGGGCACAGGCCTTATGACCTAATCACTTCTCAATCTTGTTGCATCCATAATTATTTTTCCAATGAATAAACTTGAAAAACACTTTTTTTTTCTTCCAATACTAGGGATTGAACTTCTACCAGTAAGCTACATCCCCCACCTTTCTTTTTCCTTTTTCTTTCTTTTTTTTTTTTTTTTTTGTATTTTTAATTTTGACAGGGTCTTGCCAAACTGCCAAGGCAGGCCTTGAACTAGTAATTCTCCTGCCTCAGCCTCCCAAATTGTTGGAATTACAATTGTACACCATTATGCCCCACTGAAAAACACTTTCAAACCATAGCAATCAATTGATGTTATGTTCTAGGCATTCTACCAAGTTCATTTGATCCTCATTGGCAATTTCAAGATATAAGCACTATTATCTCTGTTTTGAGGAAGAAAAAACTCTATTATATCCTCATGTTACTGATGAGACCAATGCTCAGAGAGGTGAAATGATTTGCCCACAGCAGAAAGAAGAAAAGCCAGAAGTTAAACCTGAGTCTGTCCTATTTTAATGCTCGTTCCATAATTTCTACTCCACAAATGTTGGGACCCACACTGTGACTGAAAAAACCTAAAAACCAAAACCCAACTTTCCTATTTTAAAATGCATTTACATGAAACTTTTCACAAAAGCATAAACATCATCTGGATATTTAGCTGAACATTTAACTCTTCTTTTACAGTTGAAACTTAAATTGGAAAACTAAGTGAATCCCTCTAATCCCAGCTATTCAGAGGGATTACAAATTACAGGCCAGCCTTGAGCAACATAGCAAGACCCCCATCTCATTGGCTGGGAGAGGGGACAACTTAAATGGGAAATGATAGAAAATGGGCATATAATCTATATCTTTATAAGTGAATATGATTAAAGCGATCAGCATGAAAATGGGCCCTTAAAATTAATTTTAGGGGCTAAAGGTGTTGATTACTAATAGAGCACTGGCCTATCATGTGTTCACTGACTTATCATGGGCTCTATCCCAGACGGGGTGGGAAATAACTGAAAAAACCTCAGTGGTCTGTGAATATATTTACTTCCCCTAGTTTTTTGAGAAATCAAGCTGTTACATTGCAAGTCTCAAATTAAAAAAGCAAAATACATATCTCTTGTCAATTAAAAGTAGTTCATCCCTTTTTGTATATTAAAATGTTTGTGTGTTGTGGTAGGTAGGGTGTGTGTGTGTGTCTGTGTCCCTCACAGCAGGAAGACAAATTGAACCTGGAAATGTTGTAATAGTTCCCAAATGTTTGTTTAAAAAAAAAAGGCAAAATATGGTAATAGCTAGGGATTTGTCTTTAAAGTGGGAATGATGTCATTCCACTTGATGTTTATTGACATAGAACTTCCTTTTGTCTGGGAAAATTTTCAGACTGTGAATATGGCTTTAATTAAGAGATACACTGATCATTTGTTGGTTTTGTTACAAGGAAAGAACTTGTCTGTGTTTTATTGTGTGGATTTCTTTGTGTACGGACCACAGTGAAAAAGATTTAAAGGAGCATTGGCAATGTGTAGGTTTGCATCTATTCTTATATTCATATCCGAATGCCACTGAAAACCTTTGTTTAGAAAGTTCTGTAAGACTATTATGTTTCAAAATATAAAAAAATATTTTAGTGGGCTGGAATTGTTAGCTGGCATGTGTGAGGCTGTGGATTCAATCCCCTGTACCGCATATGAACAAACAAACAAACAAATTAATTTTTAAAAAAAGATCCATTGACAACTAAAAAAATATTTTGGCTTACAATCCATTTTTTTTTTTTAAGAAGAGAAAGTCATACAGTGGTATGGGCAGTAAAAATGAATATTCATGGTAAGAATATTACTTGTGGGGCTAAATCTTTGTGTATCATTTTAAAACATAAGGAAATGACCCCTGAATTTAAGGAAGTCTCACAGGAATCTCAGTTCCTCTAATTACCTTTGGCAGTTTACTTGTTCACAGATTGTGGCAAATTTTCTGGAATCTTCTAATCTGAAATATAGATCATTGCTTCAAAATTTGAAGCGTGGGGCTGGGGTTGTGGCTCAGCGGTAGAGCACTCTAAGCATGTGTGAGGCACTGGGTACCATCCTCAACACCACATAAAAATAAAATAAAGATATCGTGTCCACCTATAACTAAAAAATAAATATTAAAAACATCTGAAGTGTGACATGAATATGGGAATCTTTAAATAGTTGTTCAGATCTATTTTAAATGATAATGTATAAAATCTAAACTAGAGTGGAGTTGTGGGACCAAAAACGACAAGAACAAAATCAAACCACTCTACTTCAAAATCTTAAACCACTTTATCCACAACCATTCACATTCTGTACCTCTTTATCTTATCTGGAGAAAAGAGATAAATGGAGAGCTCTAAAATGTGGCTTCTGCAGTCAAAGGATAAAAGTAACAAGCTGTTAAGCGTGCCCTCAGTTGACTTGGACATTAACAAGAATTTTTTATTTAAGTTAATAGGTGTAAAAAGAGGCACATAAAGAATATTTCTCTGTCCACAGGATCTGCCAATTTGTGGAAGCTCTGGCCTATCTATAAATACAAAGGCCAAAATTCTGCTGATGGGGAAAAAAAAAAAGTAGAAAACTTCAAATAAGGTTAAATAAAGCATGGTTGTTCTCCTAAAGTATCTGGATACTTATTTCACTTCTCTGAGTCTACAAAGCCATATGGCCCCCATTCCGTTGGTGGGGTGTCTCGTCCCCTCTAGTGAGGGTCAAGCAGCTTTGCTCCCTACACAAACCAAGGTCATTTTCACGCCTTGGCCCGTCGCTGTGGCCCACGCAGATCTCGTGGCCCAGGGCAGCGGTCATGATCTGCTGGGCAGCGGGAAACCACAAAGGATCTGCGCCCGCAGAAGGATCCACCGGCGTCCTGTTGAACTTTGCACACCGCGTGACTGGGGCAGACCGCGCACGGTGGCCAGGCCCTTCGCTCGGGTCCTCGGGGGAAGAGAGGAGGCTGGTTTCCGCGGCCGGGGCGGCGGGCCTGAGCGGGGCTGCACAGCCTGCAGCCCCTGCCGGACGCGGGCTGCCTCCCGCTCGCCGTTCCCTGTTGTTCGTGCCCCGGACTTGGAGCGGGAGCCTTCCCCGGCGAGCTGCCGGCTGCCCTCGCGGCCCCACGGGAGGAGCCCCCGGCCGCCGTGACGCGTCAGGGAGGAAACGCCAGCGCCCGGCGGCCCTGCCGGGAAGGAGGAAGCGCGAGCGCGCTTGACTCGGCGCCCGCGGCGCCGGGAGGCAGCACCGCGGAGCCGGGTAGGTGCCGGGCCGGCGGGAGGGTCCGCGCGGTCCGGGCCGTGGTCGGAGCCCCTACGCGGGAGGAGACGGGGCGGGGCGAGGGCTGCCCGGGGCCTCGACTGCTGCAGCTCCTCGAGCAAACGTGACTTTCCCGGATTCCCCCGGGAATCTCCGAGAAGGTCTGCAGGGAAAAAGCTATACCCCCGCCCAGCCCCCAGACTCAGTTTGTGGTCTTTTGTTTCCTCGAGGTGAATTCGGATTGTGCTTTGACATTCCTAAACGCCCGAGGGGTGTCGGTGGGAAGACAGTTACCCTGGGCGCAGCCCCTAGCCTAGAGGATCGGGCAACGAGGAGGGACAGAAGACCCCACGCGAGGAGGAAGTGGGTGCGGGTCACCTGCGAGGCTCGGGGTGGCGGGTGGCCGCGGGAGGGGTGCCCTGGAGGAGTCCTTTACCTGTCGTCAGCCGAGCTGTTAGGGCGAGACTTCAAGGCGCTGCTGTTCTTTGAAGTTCTCAGCGACTTGAACCCTTTGGTCTCTTTTCAAGTCAGTCTGTGTTAATTCTCTCAGTTTTAGCACTGGTGTGTACCATCCAGAGGCATTTTTAGTGATGGTTACTAACAGAAACGAGAGCATAAGGTAACATAGAGAAGAGAAAGGATTCATCTCTTGCAACTTCAGTTCTCAATTTTGCACGGGTATTTCTGAACCATGAGTAGAATTTCAGTCCGGCACAACAGGCTTTACAGGGTGTATTTGAGATTAAAGAATGAATACAGAGCGCTACAATTTCAAAATCTTTGTCGGGATGAAAATAGACTGTTGTGTAGTTTGATTCTCTATCCCTTCTCACTAGGTTGAGTATTCACCCAACCCATGGGGAAGTGCCGTCTTTTTGTGCCTCTTAGCTCTTCCTGCGTAAGGGGCTCTAAAGTGCTTTATAAATATTAACTCAAATTCTTAATTCAAGATTTTAAATTATAGCGGTCCTAATCATGAAGGGACTGTGCATACCTTAGTTCCCCGAATGTCATAGCGAGAGCTGGAAACAGAGGGAAGTTTCAGGCATATTTTAGCGCTGGGTGTGCCTTCTGGCCGCCTTGGCCACCACTCCCTTAAGACAAGCTGCCACCCCTGCATTCGCTGGGGAAGCGAGTCTGTAGCTCCAGGGAATAAGACCTGTTGCAAGCAGGTCTCACCAGATCCCAAGCAGCTTCTGTAAAATAGTCTTGCCATTTTACCTTGGAGCCCATTAGCTAACTGGAGAAACCAGAACTTCCCCCTTTTTTCAACTGCCACTGCATGGAGCCTCATTTTGTTTTTTAAAGGAACTTTGTTTCCTAATCTGTTTGACAATTCATAGGACATGGCTTTAGGTGCCAGGATCAGATTGGATGATAAAATAACATTTCGGTTTGTACACATTGATGTAAATTATGTTTCCTAATTTTACTGACCCTTGCTGTTGGTAACACTGAGTTGGTGGGTCAGTCTAGTAGGTGTTCATTTTGTCATTTGTAGATATATATAGGATGCTTTTTCCAGAATAAAATAACCTCTTCAAAGAGCACTTTGGCCTGATGGCCAAATTGATTGAGATCTGAAATGGGGACTAAATAATATAGATATTTTTTTTTTCATTATAATGATTACAAATGTAATCAAAATCCATACATCCCTTTCTTCTGGTCTCCCTCCTAGTGCCCTGGTGTGTGTGTGTGTCTCTCTCTCTCTCTCTCTCTCTCTCTCTCTCTCTCTTTCTCTCTCTCAAATATTTAAATTTCCAGGGAGGTGATTAAATGAGACCATAAACCTTATTTAATGGGATTATAAAGTACTTCTTGAAGCAGGAAGACTCACTTTCCTCTGATATAATTTATGGCACAACAGATGTTAGTAGCACTCATGCATTCAATTCAGCCAAGACACCTAACACTTTCATAGTTTACAGAGTGCCTTCAGACATACTCAGATGTCATCAGAAATCTTGTGAGGTTGGTAGCCATTTTTTATTCTCATTTGTACAAGTGGAGAAACTGAAGCTGAGAAATGTTAACATGATGTAGCCCTGATTACACAGCTGGTGAGAGGCAGCACTTGACTAGAGTAGGCATGTGGACAGAGCCTGGCACGTGCAGGCCTGTAATAAACATTCCTTGGAATGAATGACTCCAAATGACTGCAGATATCTTGAGCTTTCAAAACACACTTCTCATAATTGATTTATGCCAAAGAGATTTCTAGGCCTAATCTAGTGCTTTTCTTTTATCAAATAGCATCTGGTACAAATACTACCTTTTCTGGGACAGGAATACCCTTTGGACTAATTTCTTAGGATTTGTTATCCCTTTTTTTTTAAAAATTATTTTTTAGTTGTTGATGGACCTTTATTATTTATTTATTTATTTATACACGGTGCTGAGAATCAAACACAGTGCCTCACACATACTAGGCCACTGAGCCACAACCCCAGCCCATCATCCCTGGTTTTCGAAAAAGAAAATAATTTTGTTATTTTTTATTTTCCCTTCCCATTCTATATTTTTTCCTCTGATTTTGAAAGTGTCTGGATTGAACGCATGGTGTTAGTGTTTGTGTTGACAGCTTTCTTATGTAGATTCTAAGCTGCTTAGATTTATGCTCAAGTTCAAACATACTGTGTTTTGTCTTTTTTGTTTTTTTGCATTGCTAGTATTCAAACCCAGGGCCTCATACTTGTTAGGCAAGGTGCACTATTACTGAGCTACACCCTCACCCCTCATTTTTTTTTTTACACGTATCTGAGATTACTCAGAGTGTATGTATGTGTTGAAATATTGCTATTACTTTAGTAAAAAGGATCATGTTTTTAAAAAACAGAAAAATTAGAGCTGGGTGAGGTGGCGCACCTGTAATCCCAGCAGCTAGGGAGACTAAGACAGGAGGATCTCGAGTTTAAAGACAGCCTCAATAAAAGCAAGGTGCTAAGCAACTCAGTGAGACCTTGTCTCTAAATAAAATACAAAATAGGGCTGGAGATGTGGCTCAGAGGCTGAGTACCCCTGAGTTCAATCCCCAGTACTCCCCTCAAAAAATAAAATAAAAAACAGAAAAATTCTCAACTATGTATATCCTGTAAGCATAATTTTCTGTATCCTAAGTATGTGATCCCCAGATGGAAATTAGAGAGGAAAATATGGCCATTACCTAGGCGGAGGAATTGTTATCAGGGAGAAGTGATATATGGGATGGCCTTCCCTTATGAGGGATATTATCTGGTAAGAAACCTTTAATGAAGCCAGACTGAGTCATTTGCCTGTCAGCCTTCTAAATGAGGGTGGGATAAAATTCTTATGACACCTGTCTTGTTTGAGAAACCACTTTTACCTTTTCCAATCCTCATGGTTTCTTTCTTTTTTAAAAAATTCATGTAAATTACTGACTAAACTGCTGATTCATGAAACTCAAGTTATATAACATGTTATTCCTGATAGAAACAGCTCTCACATTATTTTAAACCACTCAAAGTCTGTTTTCCTTTACCTATTTCATTCTGTATGTGGAGTCTTTATTCTTATTTCACTATAAACATTTTTTTTTTTCATGGAGAGAAGTGGTAAATCTAAGAGATACCCTGTAGTTCACATCAACATAATCTAACCCAATGCAAGCTTTGAGTTAATTATCATTGCCAAGGAAGGTGAGATGGAAATGAGACCTTAAAGGTCAATTCAGAGGAGCAACCAGTAAAATTGTATTGCCAAGGCTAAGGCTGAGCCTGGGGGGCTTTGAGAGGGAGTTAGAGAAGTGTGCAGTGTCTGATTTCTCAGGTCCTTTCCTATTTCCCATGGGTCCTGAAAACCTAAACTTATCTCCTTGTAGCCACAATTCTTCTATCATTCAGAACCAAAATCTGTTTTCGTTGGGCAGTGTTGTGGATGTGTGAAAGAGGTAATGATATAAAGGGAATTGTAGGGTAAGGGACTGAGAACATGTTTTTTATTTTTGGTGGCGGGGTACCACTGATCCACATCCCTCACCCTATTTTGTATTTTATTTAGAGACAGGGTCTCACTGAGTTGCTTAGTGTCTCATCATTGATCGCTTTGAACTCGTGATCCTCCTGTCTCAGCTGCCCAAGCCACTGGGACTACAGCCATGTGAGTTTGCCTGGCTTAATAACATGTTTGATTGAAAGAAAAAACAGGAGGTTTGTGGGTGAAATAAGAGATATAAATTAGATCTCATGGTGAAGGATTCCTAGCAGACAGCTCTGCTCCCATGGGGCCAAAAGCATAAAAAAGATCTATATGGAATTGAAGTATGGGAAGGACTGGACATATCTGTTAGCATGAGAGAATCCTGGTGGGCAGAGTCTCTTTGTACCACCAACTGCAGAAGTCTTCTTATAGGTATCTCTCTCTTCAGGCCATAGAGTGAGTTTATTTGCAGATGATTAAAAATGCAGAGCTGGTTTAGTTACTTTTAACTTAAGAGTAAGGTTGATTTGATAGGTTTTTCATTGGGCAATGGCCTAGATTTTGTACCCTTTTAAAACATTACTCCATTTTGGTAACATCTGTAATATTGAAATGATGTCTGTTCTTTTCACCAGTCTGTGATTTTGAAGAGATAACATTGCATTCACACAGGATATACTAATGAGCAGGATTCAGGTTAATTGCTTCCATCTGGTTTCCTGATGTATTTGCTCAGTTAGTTAATACCAAACATTTTGTTCTTTATTGGTAAAATGGATTTCATATAAAATATATTCATCTACAAAAATAGAACTCACTGATGGATTAGCTGGTCCACAGACTGCTAGATGAAACTTCTTTGAGTATGGAGGTACTTCACTAAGACTCCACTAATTTGCTTGCTTGAGTTTGGAAATGAGAAAGAATTTTATTACTCCAGGGTTGGCTTTTTTTTTTTTTAAAGATAGAATCTAGTTATGTTGCTTAGGCTGGCTTCAAACTCAAGGGCTAAAGGAATCTTCCTGCCTTGATCTCCCAAGTATCTAGGACTATGGTATGCCAGCATACCCAATCTTGCTCTAGTTATTTACTTTACAGTTTTTTTTTAAGTCTCTCTCCCTCCCTCTCTCTCTCTTTCTCTCTCTCTCTCTCTCTCCCCTTAGTTGTATATGGAATAATGCCTTTACTCTATTTATTTTTATGTGATGCTGAGGATCAAACCCAGTATCCCACACATGCTAGGCTAGTGCTTTACCACTGAGCGACAACTCCAATCCCCAACTTTCTTGTCTTTTAAATAAAAATAGACTAGAGATAACTTAGAATGATGCAGTTTCCAACTCAGGGTGCCAATATATATATAAGATCATTATATAAATTTTATATAATGTAATGCATATGCATTGTGTGTATGTGTGTATGTG